ATGAATCGTGGATATCTTGGTCTCGTGCCCGCGTGAGTAAAACACTCCGTCGTCACCGCTGACAGGAATGGTGAATCTAAGCTTTTTTTTCTTGCGCGATAATCTTTGATAGAAGTGGTATTTAAGGAGCAGACTTTTCTGTCAGAATGGTGATGGATTTAGCTTTACAACCGCGGCAGTGACACGGGGTTGGGCTCAGAGCCGCTGCAGTACTGTAAAACATGAAAGTTAGTTGTAATATGACTGTAAATTTTGTAAATGATCTGGCAATTATGCAAATGGTTTTATTAGACACTACATCGTAGTTTACTGTGGCAAAATGCCTCTTTAGTGTGATTTATAACTAATGTTCTTGCCACTTCGTTGTTTGACAGGCGATTTTTTTCCTGTTTTAACCTAAGAATGTTTAGCGTGGCATAATTCGCGAGAAGACTATGATTCTGAATTATGTGGCCCGATGAATGTGAAATGTAGGCTGCACTGGTTGCGATATGCGGAAATGCTAGTAGGAAATCAAGCAGGTTAAGAATATGATTTTAAAAAAATGTGGTGTGTCTTCTTTACGACTCGCTTCGACTCCTTCTTCCGTCTCCATATTACACATGTCAAATTATCCGTCATGATACCAATTTTACGTATTATCTATCTCGCGCCGCTGGATAGAACAGCTGAGGGGGCGGGTAGCGATGGGGTTGGGGGGGTAGGGGGGGTGGAAGTCATGTCATATTGAATCGCTCGCTCTGTTGATCATCGGAACACGGCCCCTTCGAGCTCGCGTACTGCCGTCACACTGCATTCCCTTGACTTCATGATTTGCCTCATGGCTTTTTTCTCGATGTTACGTTGAATATGATGCTGGCGATGATAATGATGATTGATATTCATCTTTATCGTCATTATCAATATCACTATCTTCATCGTCAATATCAATATCACTATCTTCATCGTCAATATCAATATCACTATTTTCATCGGCAATATCACTATCATCATCATCATCATCAATATAACTATCTTCATCGTCAATATCAATATCACTATCATCATCAATATCAATATTAATATTAATATAACCATCAATATCAATATCAGCAATATCAAAATCATCATCATCATCACCGCCAACATCAGTATCAACATCAGGATCAATATCAGTATCATCAAAATCATCACCACCACCACCACCCACCACCACCACACCACCAAGCACCACCACCCACCAGCACCACCACCACCACCTAGCACCACCACACCACCACCTAGCAACCACCACCACCACCCTCATCCTCATCCTCACGACCGCCACCACCACCCTCACCAGCAGCATCGCGCATGCATTCCCTCCACTCCCCGACCGCGTTTCTCTCCCTCCACTCCGGCATCGCATCTTTTAATGTAGCGCGGCGACGGAGTAACACGAGCCCCAGATTCGAAACCAAACGCCCCCCAATTATGCAGCGAAGAACAGCCGTTACGAACCTTTCCGTCTCCTCACACAGAAAGACTGAGACTTCACAAACAACAAAGTCACAGTATTTTTTTTATCTCTCTCTTTCTTTCTTTTTCTTTCTTTTTTTTCTTTTCTCTCTGACAGACAAAAGACTCGTATCCTGGTCAGCACACCACGTCATTGTCCGCGCGCCTTGCGTACGTGTGTCGGCCGCCGTCCCGCAAGGCCCCCGAGACTCTCGCGGCCGCTTCACGCCTCCCCGCGAGCCTCATTAGGGCCGCCTCAGCACCTCCGCCAGGATGATGCTGGTGGCGGTGGCTGTCTTTGGTGGTGCGGGGGTCGTGGTGGTGTTGGTGGGGATTGTCGTGGTGGCGGTGCAGTTGTCTTGGTTCTGATGGTGTCGGTGGGTTGCCTGATGGTGTTGACGGTGGTGGTGACGGTTGTTGTCTCGCTGGAGGTGGTGATGATGGTGGTTTCTTGGTGGGTGTTGTCTTGGTGGAGGTGGGTGTATCGGTGGTGACGGTAATGGTGTTTGGCGTTGATGTTTATGGTGTTGATGTGGTTGCCTCGATAATTTAGGGAAGGGGGACTTACCTAAATCGTATATCTGTTTCTTACTTTCAGTCTAAGATATTGTTATCTTTAATTTACTTAGTGTTCGACATTATTCATATTCTGTAATCTTTCTTTTCATACCTCTCTATTTCTCCATCATTATCCATCCGTTTTCTTTCTCCATGTCAACCAATTGTCTTGATCTTTCGACGTCATCTCCCCCTTTTCTTCCCTTCGCTTTCTCTTTTCCCTTTCCTTTTGCCGCACCTTTACTCCGCTTCTCCTTGCTATATATTCGCTATTTCGGGAATCATCCTAGCTTGTCACGTCTCCCTCTTCCTCCCAGCAGTTAGTCAGCTCTTTTCAGTGCTGTGGTTCTCATGCATGACTAGATTTCCGTATGTTTCCGTCCATTTCTCTTACTGTTCTCTAAGACTCACCCTATATTTATCTCACCCTTCGCCACACTTAGTCACCTCCCCTCTTAGTCCTCTTCTATGTGTGTATTGGTAGTCAAACCCGTATGTTATGCTCCCCCGCCCACTATTTTCACGTCCCTACTGAATATTTTAGCTCCAACCTCACTGCTTCAGCTCGCCCATTCCGTACTTTAGTTCCTCTTGTTAATACTTAAAGCTTAGTACGTCTAGCAGTTCTCATGGAGAATACTTTTAGGGACTCGTTCATTCGTTACGGAAGGTTCTCTGGTTTGGAGTTTTGATTTCTTCCATCTGCATATTGGTTTCGTCGCTTTTGCCGTACTTCGAAAATATCGTTAACATCTGTGACCATTTTCTGCATTTCATATCCTGTGTTTGAGCTGTACACCTGCCTTTGAATCATTGCATTTCCGCCCGCTGGAAGTTCGTTTCGAAAAGTCTGTCTCGCTCCCAACCACTTTCTTTCAATGGCGTGGCGTTTGCTTTCACTGCGCCGAGTTTTCGACGCTGCTTCTGCGTCTGCCCTCCAACTTCGGGCCCAGTGATCTAACGCTTTAGCACCGTCGTCGGTGTAGTTCAGCCAGTCTTCAGTCATTCCATTAGCCCAAATAGTCCCAAAACTGGAAATGGCCTTCCGCACCACCTAATTATCGTTCTGTCTATCTATTTATCTGTCGTTCTTTCTCTCCCTCTCTCTCTCTCTTCTCTCTCTTCCTCTCTCTCTCTCTCTCTCTCTCTCTCTCTCTCTCTCTGTCTCTCTCTCTCTCTCTTCTCTCTCTCCTCTCTCTCTTCTCTCTTCTCTTCTCTCCTTTCTCTCTTCTCTCTCTCTCTCTCTCTCTCCTCTTCTCTCTCTCTCTCTCTTCTCTCTCTCTCTCTCTCTCTCTCTCCTCTCCTCACTCTCTCTCTCTCTTCTCTCTCTCTCTCTCTCTCCTCTCTCTCCTCTCTTCTCTCTCTCTCTCCTCTCTCTCTCTCTCTCTCTCTCTCTCTCTCTCTCTCTCTCTCTCGCTCTCTCTCTCTCTCTCTCCTCTCTCTCTCTCTCTCTCTCTCTCTCTCTCTCTCCTTCTCTCTCTCTCTCCTTCTCTCTCTCTCTCTCTCTCTCTCTCTCTCTCTCTCTCTCTCTCTCTCTCTCTCTCTCTCTCTCTCTCTCTCTCTCTCTCTCTCTCTTCTCTCTCTCTCTCTCTCTCTCTCTCTCTCTCTCTCTCTCTCTCTCTCTTCTCTCTCTCTCTCTTCCTCTCTCCTCTCTCTCTCTCTCTCTCTCTCTCTCTCTCTCTACTCTCTCTCTCTCTCTCTCTCTCTCTCTCTCTCTCTCTCTCTCTCTCTCTCTCTCTCTCTCTCTCCTCTCTCTCTCTCTCTCTCTCTCTCTCTCTCTCTCTCTCTCTCTCTCTCTCTCTCTCTCTCTCTCTCTTCTCTCTCTCTCTCTCTCTCTCTCTCTCTCTCTTCTCTCTCTCTCTCTCTCTCTCTCTCTCTCTCTCTCTCTCTCCTCTCTCTCTCTCCTCTTCCCGCTCTCTCCTCCCCTCTCCCCTCTCCCCCCCCCCCCTCTCTCCTCTCCTCTCTCTCTCTCTCTCTCTCTCTCTCTCTCTCTCTCTCTCTCTCTCTCTCTCTCTCTCTCTCTCTCTCTCTCACACACACACACACACACACACACACACACACACACACACACACACACACAGCACACACACACACACACACACACACACACACACCACTCACTCTCTCCTCTCTCTCTCCCTCTCTCCCTCTCTCCCTCTCCCTCTCCCTCTCCCTCTCTCCCCTCTCCCCTCTCCCCCTCCCCCGTGGCCACTCCACTCCTCCACAATTCGCGTGATGTTGCCCGCGTTCGCCCGGGTCTATGAGACAGCCATTTTTGAGCTCTTCCCGAAACTTTCCGGAGAAACCCCGTCGCACTTTTTGTCCATTTTGATGCCATTTTAAGGGTAATAGTTTTGCGAAGTTGTGGTGGCTGACAGTGTCGTTAGGTCATAGCCTCTGACACCTGGAGGGGAGACACGTGGAGGGGAAATGGAGGGATGTTCGTGCTGTTATAATAATGCCGACGTAAAGAAAAGACCGTCGGGGAGGGTTTAGAATACAGGGACAGGGTTGATGGCAACGCGCTGAAGGTCTTGTATGTTATATATTCGTTTGTTTGTTTATGTGTTTATGTATTTTATTATTGTTGTGTGGGAGGGTGGCCGTGTAGTGCTGTGTGTGTGTTGTGTGTGTGTGTGGTGTGTGTGTGTGTGTGTGTGTGTGTGTGTGTGTGTGTGTGTGTGTGTGTGTGTGTGTGTGTGTGTGTGTGTATTAAAGTCTAGAGGGATAGGAAGGGGAAAAGAATATCGGATATGTGTGTTGATGATAAGCACATGATTATAGAGGTTGTCTTTAAATTCAGAATTTAATACTCAATATGTATAATGCATCATGTGATAAATCATAGATGATGACTGCATACTCTTCCTCCCAGTAGATTGGCGCTGGCGGATCATAACCGATATTTGATGCATCATCCCCAACCCTGTCATTGATACTAATAGCTTGTGTGTTGTCTACAG